TTATATGGTCGACTTTTTTGTCTCGTGGAGTATCGTGTGAAAGTGACGCGCGCTCGAGTGTTCAGACAGAATATACAACTGCTGAGTTTTGTGTCAGGTTATCCCCGTATCTGTGATTCCTCTATATTTATATTTGTTCAACGCTCACTCTATTATGTATGTCAATTTTTTGTTAGACTGCAATATTGCTACTCGCTGGCTTGTGTGTTTTTTGTGTATAGTTGTACACGTATGTCGTATACAATTATATCCTTCCATTTAACAACTGACATCACTAACATTGGAATAGAATGCGGATTCCGACTTTAATCTCGGTGGAGGTGATGCGGCTACCGAGGCTGCGTTACAGCAGATGCTACAACAACTCGGACTCGATCTGAGAACCGCCATGACTGGACGTAGGTTTTCACGTAGTATTCTTGCTCTCACACTGTGCATGTGACGTTATATATAGTCGGACTTTCTATTCTGTCCTCTTGTGTGATTTTGTGCGCGTGAAAACTAAGGATGTATGCATGTTTTATGTCGGTAAATGTGATCTAGTTACGTGATTGTCACTGTATCAGGTGGCGAATTCGGGGGTTTTTCTTTGCCAATCGAAACGAGTGCATGCTGTGAGCCAGGTGGGCACTATTTGGCATTCTGACGAAGGCCAAAGAATACCGCTGGACGTAGCAACTGTCGCTTCCAGTCCAGATATTCAATATCGATGCTCAACAATTCTGCTGCCACAATTGTTTTGAACACTCGTTCAGATATTTGGCGTAGTAGTTTCGGTTTTTTTCTGTATATGAATTGAATATTGGGCTTTCCATATCTGTATGGTGGAAATATTATAGCTCGCAACAGACTTTTAGAGTCCTGTTAAAGTTGCGCACGGATCTTACATTCCCTACAGGGCGTCTGCAATAAGTATGCGTGCACGATTTTACGAAACTAAAGTAGACACATTGGACCCCAATTTATCATAGAACACGCCAAGATACGCGACTTCCTGACCAGCATGAAGGATCCAAGCCCTTCCAAGCAACTTTCCTCACTCAGCGAACTGTGCGAGATGCTGTCGATGGGTGCTGACGACACGGTGTCAAACACACTAGCTCGGGAGATGGTCCCGGTATTGGTGGAGCTTCTGAATACCGGGGCGAATGATGAGATCATGATCACGGCGTGTAGAGCATTGGTGTATTTAATGGAGATCATGCCATCGTCTTCAGACGTCGTTGTTTCAGAGGGTGCTGTGCCGGTGCTTTGCGCTAAGCTGATGGTCATTGAGATTATTGATCTGGCCGAAGAGGCCTTGTTGGCGATAGAGAAGCTGTCCAGGCGGAATGGGTATGTGACTATGTCTACACCCAGGCTACAAATACGTTGATTGTCTGATATTCTGTTTTCAGAAAACCATCCAGTCTGTTTTGGATGTCCTATAAATAATACAACCATTTGCGGTATTCATTCGTGGTGCTTACGGCGGGGCTGCAAACCCCACACGATTATCGTATTGCAGTTCGGCTGCAAGGGCTATACAACCAACTAATCGCCACTAATCGCTCCCCTTTTCACACCAACGGCATACCTTTTCACCTTTAGAGATGCGCTGCTTGAAGGAGGTGGCCTGGCTGCTGTGTTGACGTATCTCGACTTCTTTGCGACTGCGTCGCAGCGGTCCGCACTAACATCAGCCTCCAACATGTGTGCGGAAGCCACCAATACAAAGGAGTGCTACGAATCTGTGTTGCCAGTCATGGGCACCCTCAGACATTTGGTGGCAAGCGGCGATGCTAAGATGGCCGAGAGAGCCTGTGCGTGCTGCATGAATCTGGTGGATGTCTTCCAGGGCGATGCCACCAAGTTGGAGACAATTGCTGGTATGGTTTTGCGAGGCGGGGCTACTGGGCTGTACCACCCAGTTTGGCTCGCTGCCAACACTGCACGCACACCCGCAGATGCATACAATTGCGAGTCTTCCCTACTAACTTACGAAGGGGCGGCGTTGCTTTATGGTCCATGGCAGCGCTTATGTGCGAGCTATCAGTGAAGTCCGCATTTTTATAATACATATATTTTTCTTCTGCTCCTTCTCCTCATACAAATTTGCTTTTTACTGATACACACAGGGTCGGATCTGGTACCTAACTTGCTGACAAACATCGGCCATACGCAAGAGTCTGCGGCTGTGCTCACGACAGTCATCCTCACACTGGCACAGCTATGCAACGGAAGCCCAAAGCTTGCCGCGGCCTGTTTCGCACAGAATGTTCCCGATCTCGTATACAACTTCGTTGTGGAGGAGCATCACAGTGTGAAAGCAGAGACAAGCACAGACAGCCCATTGATAGCACACAAGGGCAATGCACTCGCCCACGTGCCCACCACAACAGGAGTGGTGCTGAAACACCAGCCACCCAAGCAGGTAATCACATGGCAGCGTCAAGTGGTTGTATTTGCCTACAGTTGTGCAGGCATGGGCAATGAGACATGCATGTGAATGAACTCATCTAGTGATAATAATGTATGTGTTTATGTAAGTCAGCAAAAAGGTTTATTTTAATTCACGAGTATACCTCTTTGTATATATATGTATATATACATATATATATACATATATATATATATATATATATATATATGTATGTATATGCGCATGTGCGCAGAGATGTACCGCAAACACATATACTTGGATATTTCGGAAATATACGTACTTCTTGGCTCGAGTACCTCTTGTGTTTTGAACATGTGTATAGATGCAAAGAGTTTCATTCTAATTCGAGTATACCTCTTTTGTATATATATATAGGATCCATCCTCCACTCCCCTCGAGGAGTGGAGGAGATGAACGTGCTCC